GTGTGTGTATTTGGTACAGAGTCTCACTATGCAACTCAAACTCACAGTGATCCTTCTGTTTTCAGCCTCCCCAACACTGGGATTATAGGCGTGTGCCACTATGCCTGGTCTCTGTGACTGGGTCAGTGCACCCAGGGGCAGGGGCAGCGCAGCCTGTGGTGCTAGGGATCAAACTTGCCTAAGCAGGCATTTAGGCTACTGAGCTATCTCACCAGCCCTGTAGTTTGGTAATTTCTAATAAATGTCAAGTGTTTAGACTTCTTAACATTTTCAAGGTTTATTAAATAAACTTCTTGAAGGTAGAAGAAACTAAATGCAGGATAGAGCTAAGGTGACTCAAGATTGGAAAACAATTAGGTTTTCCTTACTGTCTTAGTCACTTTCTCATCACTGGACTATAATACTTGACACCCACAGTTTAAAGAAGGAAAAGTTTGTTTTGGCTCATGGTTACCTGGCTCCAAGGCAGAAAACGTGTGGCAGAGGTCCGTGGCAAAGGAAAAAACACTCACATCATGACAACTAGCATGCAGTTCAAGAGAGAATCAAGGAGCAGAGAGAGGAGTGAGGCTGCTCAGCTTGCATCCCAATGGTCACCTCTTCCAACTAGTCCCTACCTCCCTACAGCAAGTCAGTTCTATCACTTCATGATCTCATCGCTTTCCAAAAGCCCTATCTCTGAGCACAAGAGGGTCATTCTTTTTTATATTATTTATTTATTTGGTACAGGGTCTCACTACACAGTTCAGACTCATAATGATTGTCCTGTCTCAGCCTTCCCAGCACTGGGATTACAAGCATAGTTTTGAAGCCAGCACAGCATGTAGTACTGGGGATTGAACTTGGGTCCTTGTGCTTGCCAGGCAGGTGCTTAGACCGCTGAGCTATCTCCCCAGCCCTTGAGAGTCATTCTTTATCAAACCTGTAACATACACCAAGCTTATGAGGTTTTATTCCACACTGGACATTAGGTGTACCAGGACTAGGACAAGAACAAAACCAATGTCCAATAAAATCAGATAATCTGCTAGGAGACAAATGATTTTATTCATGTTTAAAAAAAGTTTCATATGTTTGTGCTTAAATGAATGAAACAAAATTGAATATAGTACTTTAATAGAGTCTAATTTCTGAAACTCTAGGCTCACCATGGCAATTTCCAGGTGAGATGACCACTGATATCCTCTTTCTTCACATACTGCTTGCAAAAGTTTCATCTCAGTGTTGGTTGTGGTTCAGGGTGGGGGATGGAAAGAAATCCAAAATCCAGTATTTTGCAGTGTTCATCCTCTAGCACCAACCTGTGTTATAGGTGACAGTGTACAGTGAGATGGATGCCTCAGCCAAGCAGCGCAGTAACAACAGGGCAGCTTCCCTCTTGATGCACCTCTTGGGAGCATGTGTCAATCTGAAGATCTTAGATTTTTCTCAAACACAAACTAGTATAGTTTGAAAATGTTTGATGTTGAATTCTCTGTCTCTCAGTGGTAGAAAGCTTGCTAAGGATGTGCAAAGCCCTAGTTGGATGTTCAGCCCTGAGAAATATTGGATATCTCTTTTCTTATCTGTAAACATGGGAGGCAGATTTGCACATTTCTAGAGTTCTTATAAAATTAGTTCAGCCCAAAACAAAGTTTCAAAATTATTTTTCCCAGATGTAGTTAAAGGAAGGAAGTTGGTAAGGAAGTTCACTCTACATTGTTAAAATTAAAGATTATTAAGATAAATATGTATAGTTTTATCATAGATAGATAGATAGATAGATAGATAGATAGATAGATAGATAGATAGATAGATAGATCTGTAAATTATATATAGTACTCTATGTAGGTTTTTTTTTTTTTCATAGTACTAGAGATTGAACCCAGGGCCTTTGCACTGAGCTACATCCCAAGTCCTTCTAATTTTTGAGACAGTCTCACTAAATTACTAGGTTGCCTAGACTGGACTTAAACTTTCCATCCTCCTGCCTCACAATTCCAGAATTTTGGGTTTACAGGTGTGCACTACCATCCTGTTTCACTGTTGATTTTTGATTAGCTATTACTGGCTATCCCTCTATGCTGAGATTTCAGGTAATTTTTATTTTCCTCTTCTTGCTCTCCTATAGTTCCTGTTTACCAGCTGAATTAATTTTATAACAGAAAAAACAAGTCTGAAAAAAGAAGTGTCATTGTTCTGTACATTGTTTTAACCCAGCACTCTGTGAAGACCACTGCACTGAAGGAAGACCCCACAAAGGACCTGAAACAGCTTCTGCAAGAGCTGAGAAACGTGATCAATGAGGAGCCGGCCATGCAGCTGAGCAAGGCGGAGGACGAGGGGAGAGCACCATCCCTCGGGGCCTTGTGCGTGGCTCTGTGGGGTGGCACTCAGGAGGGGAAAACTATGCACATGACACACTCTGGAAGACTGAGGCTTAAATAACTTTGGAGAATACCTGAAGTTGTTGGGGAAGCAAGTATAAGTGGAGGGGTTAGGCAAAAGTAAAAGTAACGACATCAAGAGAAAATAATACATCATTCTGTTCAGATACCCACAGTGAAAAGCCACCTCTGTAGAGTAATGTATAATTCCCAGCAGATTTCCCATCCATAATCTTATCTGAATATCACAACAACCACCTGAGCCAGAGTTCACTTGTCTGATTTTATAAATGAGAAAAACACCAGTCTCAGAGGTCAATTTGTTTGCAGCACACACAGTAGGACCCCAAATGCATTCTAACACTCCAGATGTGAGCCAACAGGAAAGGCCTTGGTTGCAGTTACCTCCAGGTATTAAAACACCCAAAAAAGATTCAGCTAGCTCACCCTCACCGTAATCCTAACGCTTAACCCTCCCAGTACATGGCTGCAGATATCTGTGGTGTTTTAATCATCTTTTTATTCTTTACTGAGGATTTTCAAATAATGCTTTTTAAATTGTTTTATGTCATCATTTAGACTAATTTATCTTAATTTATACATTAATATGATGTATATTTTTTAAAATTTTAAGTATTATAACCCATTTTTGTATACTTATTTCTGGTTATACAGCAGTTACTTAAATGTTAGTGTATACTATCCCAAAGTGCCAAAATATTGGCTGAATTTATCTAATTGTTCATCATAATATTAATAATAATAGCCCAATTACCTGCCATAGCTTACATTACGTCAGTCACACTATATCAGAAGTGTTTCACTGACTCCTCCATCAAAAAGTATTTTCAAGGGCTGGCAGATACTTGTGCAGATTGAAGAGCCTGCTTAGGCAGACGTGGAGACCGGGGCTTGGTCCCGAGTATGTGCCGCCCCGCCCCTGGGGCGTGCTGAGGTAGCGACTGAGACTGGGCGTGGTGGTGCAGGCCTGCAATCCCAGCACTTGGGAGGCTGAAAACAGGATCACTACAGGAGTGGTCTGTGTGATGAGACCCTGTAGATACTGTACTAAATTCATTAAAAAAATTTTCACTTGAAGAACTTTTCATTCTTGTAATGACTATAGTGTCCCTTCTAAGTTAGCCCACTTGACAATTATGTAAACTCAGGTTGACTTGCCTCCTAGAAAGATAAGGCAGAGCCAGAAGTGAAAATCCCAGCTGCTGGTTCTCAGCTCCGGTCATTTCACTGATCATTTCACAGTATCACCAAGCTTCTTCGACCAGCTTTCCAGCACACCAGCCACTAATGATGACATTGAATGGTATTGGACTTCATTGAATATAAATATGTTTGATCCTTGCCTTTAGAGAATTTATTTTTTATAATCCTACAAATGGCCTGTCACTAAGATCTAAATGCCTAGTGCTTAAGACTCCAGGGAAAGAAAGCATTTTTGGTTTGATGAATTCCAGAGATAGCATTTTGTTCCATTTTCTTAGAAGCCCAAAACCCACAGTTATGGGCTAAACAGCTGGGTGTGGTACAAGGATGTGACCCCACAACATGGAAGGCTGTATTAAGTTTGAGCTAGCAAATGTTGCATAGTGATTTAAAGGCCAGCCTGGACTACATAGCAAGAGTGTCATATTTTCTTCATTGCTGAGGCAAAATACCCAACACCCAAAGCTAAACAAAGAAAGGTTTATTATAGCTCACAGTTTGTTCAGTTCGTAGTCAGCTGGCTCCAAGGCTGGGTGGCATGGCAGACAGGCATCACAGGGGAGAAATAGTCCATGGCAAGCAGGCAGGATACAGTAAAGCAGCAACAGCCACAAGAGAGAAGCAGCCTTTCCCCTCTCCCTTCAGAGTCTATGCAGTGTGTGAGCCTGCTGATTGGTGCTGTGCACACTGAGGGTAAGGCCCACTTGCTCCCAGCACCACCCCCTTAACCTCAGCATGGCACACACTAGATCCAGCCACCTCTGAAAAGCCCCACCTATGTCTTCATGAGGCTTCAGAGGGACATCTAGACACAAACCACAACAAAGACCCTGTCTCAGAACACGAAGGAAAAAAAAAAAAAAAAAGGAAAACTACATTATTTCTAAAAGATCATTTCTAAAAGATATTCAGTCTTGCCAGATGTGATGGCCCACACCTATAATCTGTACACTCAGGACACTGCAGCAAGAGCATCACCATGAGTTTGAGGCCAGTCTGGGCTACCTAGTGAGTTCAAAGGCAGCGAGACCATGTTAAATAACCCCCCCCACACACACACACACAAATCAAATCTAGAAATTGATCTGCATGTAATTAATTGAGTTATATTTATCTACACAGGGATGATAGGGTAAGAGATTGCATTATTGAATCAAGCCTGAGATCAGACATATGCCATAGGTAAGCATAATCTACAATTCTGAATTTAATTACCCAAGGACATTTATATGGCCTGATTAAATGAGAGGGTTTGTTTGGATGATTTTCATGGAACTTGGCAGAGATTTTGATCCATGAAGGAAAATTATTACATTGTTTAACTGCCTCTAAAAGAGATTTCAAGTAAATGTATGAATTTACTTTTCAGAAATCAATTTCAGTCGGGCGTGGTGGTACACGCCTATAATCCCAGCACTTGGGAGACTGAGACAGGAGGATCATTGCAAGTTCGAGATCAGCCTGGACTACAAAGTGAGTTCAAGGCCAGCCTGAACTGCACAGTGAGACCCTGTCTCAAAAAGAAAGAAGGAAGGAAGGAAGGAAGGAAGGAAGGAAGGAAGGAAGGAAGGAAGGAAGGAAAAAAGGAAGGGAGAGAGAGAGAGAGAGAGAGAGAGAGAAATTTCATAGGCACTTTCTTCTTTTTAGCTGATTATGTTAGCTTTGTTTCACTATAATGAAATACATGAAATAATGTATAAGACCAAAGTTTTACTTAGCTTACAGTTCTGAGGGTTCTAATCCAATACTAGCCTTTTAGGGGGCATGACTGGTATGAATTGCATGTCAGAGCTAACTGCTCACCTCATTGCCAAGAAGGAGAAGAGACAAAAGGCATCAGGACCCTATAGTCTCCTTTGGGTCTCACCCTCAGTAACCTAAGGACCTAACCTCCTAAAGGCTCCTCAGTAACCTAAGGACCTAACCTCCTAAGGGCTCTACTTCTGTCTAGTAGTGCCCCCTGCGAAGGGAATTTGGGGGATACTCTGTATCCAAACTATAGCTGGAAGCTGTGTACTGTTGGGAAGGTAATACTTTATCTAAATTTATATGCATTTACAATAACTTTGTAATTTTGAAGAGTGGTCCAGGATATGATAATAATTTCAATGCGAAGTTTAAGAATAATCTTACTGAAAACCATTCAATAATTGAATAGCGAAGTTTTAAGTAAAATCATGAAAAAGAGAAGAAAGAAAGCTATGGTTGTGCACACCTGTAATCGCAGCACTCAGGATGCTGAGGCAGGAGAACAACCACAAGTTTGAGGCAAATCTGCTACATGAATTCAAGGGCAGCCCGAAATATATAGTGAGACCTTGTCTGACAAAAACAAAAGCAGAAAGAAATGTAGTGCACAGCCTAAATAAGATCCTTAAAAGACAACTTTGCATAAACATTAGCCCAAAGGCAAGTATTAGCTTAAGACTTATGGAAGTCTCAGAGGCCATTGCTCGGAAATCTTGGTAGTGCCTTACTGCCTGCTACAGTAAGTGCGTGGGGCCTCGGGGTGGCACTGAGCTGCTCCTGACTTGTCATCTGTCTGCCAAACCAGCTTTCTCCAGATTCCTAAACATTCATGTCTCTGTCTTCAAGCTTTTCTCCATACTATTCCCGCCACCTGGAAGAGCCCCAAACTCACTTTTTGGAATCTGTCTGTCTGAAAGTAATGTTGAAGTGAACAATTTTGTTTTGTCATGAGGGTCACACTAGATGGCCTACCTAGCTAGCCAGTAGATGTCATTTACTTGCATAAAAATAAATTGGGCTGAGGGTAAAATTCAGCAGTAAAATGGGTGCTTAGCATGTACATGGCCCCAGGTTCAAACCCCAGTACCAAAATAAATCAATTAAAGATTAAAAACAAGAATAAATAATTTCTCTCACAAACATGTATTAGATTGGTAAGAAGTGTAATGTGTACTCTTTAATTTCTCCCACCCTTCTACCAACAGAAGCAACAACTCCTTAAGGGACTCTGTGGAAGGCAGCAAGTCAAGTGGAACTCTCAGCAGGTGAGAAATGATTGTGCCAACCACAGTTTACTAGTGTGTGCTACTGAATTCAGAAGGTCAGAAGCGCAGGAATCGCTCTCCAGGAGATGTGCTGCGCCTGAGGCGCAGGGCTCTGTGTTCCATTTGTTTACAGTCAGGAGCTCGGTCCATTGACAGACAGCCCAGAGAAAGCTTATCTTTATCTTTTCCATTTTCACTGCCTGTAAAAGTAGACCTGTCCAAGCCCTCTTGTGTCCTCAGAGTGTGCACACAGTTCCTGTGTTTGCATTTCAGTCAAGTAGGGACTTAGCGCTGCCGTGGTCAGCTTTGCCTCCAGGAGCAATGCAGTAAACAGCGCTCAGTAAACAGATCAAGGTCAGATTATAAACACCTCACTGCCTCTCCTATGTGATCGCAATATGGAATATTCAAACCTTTGTAAATATCTTTCTCTTAGCCTTGGTAATGTCTTCATTTCCTCCTTTGAGTATAAGCACTATCTTGTATCTATTTATAATAACCATACTATCATCTGCATGTTTTTGTTTTTCCTCTTTTCTGATTGTTTTATTTTTATTTATTTATTTATTTATTTATTTATTTATTTTGTATTTTAAGGAAGGGTCTACAGGGTGTTCAGTGTTGTACTACTACATCAGACTTGCAGTGATCCTGTTTACAGCCTCCCAAGAGCTGGGATCACAGGCACGTGCCACCACACCCAATCTCAATTGCCACTATGCTCGCCCCAGGGGTTGGGCCGGCTTGGCTGGCCCGTGGATGGAACCCTAGCTCCTGTGCCTGCTTGCAGGTGCTTTAATTCGCTGAGCTATTTGGCCGGCCCTTCTAATTGTTTTAGAATCATCTTTTTATCTAATATGATCTATGTAGGAGACACTGCTTTCTCACGTGTAGATTATTGTTATTTTTTTGAAAAAGGAAAAAGGGCTCTATTATAAAGGGAAAGGAGCTTCATTATTTTGGAGGGCACAGAGAGAATTTGGGAAGATGAGGAATTCTCTCAACTGGAACAAAGAGAGTCTGAGGCTTTTATGACCTTTTGCCAGGGGTGGGCTTTGAGAGAGATGTTTAGATACACCTGAGGAGCTGATTGGGGCCTTCCCTGAGGTGGCGGGAAAGGAGAAAGGAAATTGCCTTGGGCTGAGTTGGAGAAGCCGGGAGGTGGTCTTGGGGAAGATAAACTGTTGTTTTAAGGGCTTCGGCCATATTGGATGACCACCATAATAATTCAGCAATTCATACCAGGGCTATAACCTATCATTCCCATCTTTTGGTTGTTATAAAAGGGGCAACATCTCTCTTAGACTGCTTCCTGCTGAACTGGGGCGTCGTCTTGGGGGTGAAGGGAGTTGACAGGATGACGGTTCACACCCATGTAGAAGTTAGTGCCAGGTGTCTCAGCTAGGACTAGAAGTTTATTGTTTGTGACAGCTCACATTGGAGACTGAAGAAACCTCGAAAAATACGTAAAAAGACAGCATGTTATGAGTACATGCCATCATGATTAAAGGACACAGGAGGGGAAGCAAGAGGAGGATCTATGATCTGTCATTTTACCATGACCCTGTTGAAGAGGAGGAGTATCGATCTTTAGTTTGATATCTGCTGTCAATGTGAGGAAAAGGAGTCAGGGTCATCTGTAGTACTGTAACACAACTGTATAGATTTTGTTAAACTTTTGTTTCCTGTGTTAGTATGTAAGTGTGTGAAGACATGGAGTCTACCTACCAACTGTGTTGTCTATAGTTGTTTAGAAAGGTAGGCTACTATCTGAAAAGATGGTCTCTTTTTATGTTCTAAAATGCCCACTGTATTGTGACCTTGAAAAGTCATGTGTAGATTGGAAGTGAAGATTCAGATTACTTAAAAACTTCCCAAGATCATGCATCTTGTAGGCAGAGGAGGTCAGTTTAACTCGGCCTGGCTGGCTCAGTAGTACATACTGTGGCCTCTGCTGCATGCTGCTCCAGGGACCGCAATTGAGCATTCAGGAAAGAGCTCAGGCAGAGGCAAGGAGGAGGAGCGAACTGGTCTCTGCAGAGCGGGATACATCTGCTTCGTTCAACAGTGACGTTACCATAGTAGTATTGCCTTTTTTTTTTCCACCCTTCAACCCTTATCCCCAATCTGTAGTACTGTTTCTTATTATTTTTTTAGTCTTTTTTTCTACTTTCATGGCTTTATTATGTTTTTTTATAGATTATACATTGTAAATAAATTATTTACAAATTTAAATGACTATAACAATAAAAATTGTCCAAAATAAAAATGAAGAACTTACAGATCAGTCATATAACAGTTCACTGTGTCAAAATCAAGAAACATATTCATATAATTAGAATTCTGAAAATAGAAAGAAGTAGGTAATAAATATTTAAAGATTTAAAATTTCTGAATTTAGTTGAACTTATAACACCACATTTCCCAGAAAAATGAAACTTTTGCCCAAGAAATTTGAATAAAATTATACCCAGATACATATAAATGAAATTGTCCAAAACTTGTTGTAAAGAAAAAAATCATGAAAGCATATACATAAAAAAATTAGCTATGGAAGAACAAAATTAAATAGCATCTTATTTCACATTAGAAAGAGAAAAGAAAAAAAAATATCAAGTGTGTAAGAAACTAGAATAATTAAAGGACTATAAGAAAGGAGAAAAACAGATCTGTCCTCTTTGAATTTTATACTTAGCAAACATACCTTTGAAAACTAAAAGGAAAATATTTTCCAGTTATACAAACTCGAAATATTCTAATACCTCCAGATGTAGCATATAGGAAATAACAAAGAGCATAATTCAGAAGGCAAGAGAAGTTGTTACATGCTCCTAGATAAAGAATAAAGAGCTCTCAAAATGATAGTTATGCAGGACTATGTAAAATATATTAGATGAACCCATTGAAAAAGTCATTAAAGATGTCTATGAAACAGTATCAATCATATCAGGTTATACACATTTTTTTCATGTGTATGTGTGTGTGTGTGTGTGTGTGTGTGTGTGTGTGTGTGTAAAAGGTAAGAAAGAAGTAATATAAAGTCAATAGAAAATGGAAATATACTTTTTAAAGTTTCTAATACTAGGAGAAAATATCATACCATGTCTTTTAAATAGATTATAAATCAAATATACAGTATAAATCTTAAAACAAAAATTAAGATTAAGCAATATTTAGAAAATTAAATGCTAATTAATTAAAGATTAAATGTTTCAAAACAATTGAACTTAGAAAAAGTTTTCATGATAGTAAAGAATTACTAAGAATAAAACATAAGATAAGTACTGGAATGACAAACAAATGACCAGCACTTCTAACAGTTTGGGGATAGGATATCACACAAAGTTCTAGTGTGTCATGGACATGGATAATGTCCATAACATTTACTGGTGTCCAGGTGTCACTTGTGGGACTGAGCTACTGCTACTTCCTTGATATCCACCCTGTAGACCCGGACAGAATCATGCCCCGTAGGGTGCAGGAGAAGTCCATTTGTAGAATATGCTGATGGAAGTATCTTGTTGCTGTGTACAAAAGAATAACTGAAAGACTGCTTTTGTATACCTCTTATTCTCCTAGGTTTAATTGTTTGCCCTATGTGGTGGGTTCTTTCCATTCTCATTCATGGAGTTGTGGTCATTTTGCTCCCTCTCTAAAACATCTTTTAGTAGTCTGTGTAGGTTTAACTTTGTCATCATGAAATTCTTAAGTTGTTCTTTGTCATGGGAGTACTTCACTTCTCCATTATACTTGAAAGAGAGTTTTGCAGGGTATATTAGTCTGACTTGGCATTTGTTTTCTTGCAAGACTTGAAGTACTTTGCTCCACACTCTTCTTGACTGGATGCTTTGTGAAGAGAAATCTGCTATTATCCTGATGGCTTTTCCTTTATTTTTATTTGTTTATTTAATTTATTTATCTTTTTTTTTTGTGGAACCAGAGATTAACTCAGGCCCAGGGAAGCACTTAGTCCACTGAGCCATCTCCCTGGCCCCTTGGCTTTTCCTTTAAATGTGATCTGCTTCTTTTCTTTAGCAGCTCTTAGTATACTGTTCCTGTGCTGAATTTCTGAGTTCTTGATTATTATATGTCTGGGTGTGTTCTTAATTGGGTTGATGTTCTTTGGAGTTCTATATGCTTCAGTTACCTGAATGTCAATTAGTTTCCCCATATTTGGGAAGTTTTCTGCTATTACTTCCATCCATACTCTTTTTATATCATTTGTATTGACTCCTTCCTTCTCATTGATGCCTATTAGTCTCACGTTGTTCATCTTTGCATCATCTTGCAGGTTTTAAATTATATTTCCTGCATCCTAGTTGTTTTTAAGAGATCTCTTCTTACTTTTTCACTAGTTGCAATGGTGTCTTTAAGGTCTGAAAGTCTATTCTCACTTTCATTCAAACGATTTTGCCAGCTTGTGATTGAGGTTTCAAATTCCTGTATATCACTTTGGATCTGTTTCATGCATTCTATTTCTTAGCTTTATTGCTTATTCAAGGATTCCATCACTTTTATATAATGCTCTATTTTTTCTTATCAGTGTCTTCTTTGGAAACACTTAGTACTTCTTTCATTTTAGTTATCATTTATTTTTTTACTTCAGAAATTATTTCTGATATGATTTCCTCTATACTTTTCTGCAGTTGTTTCTTTACTTCAGATGGTATTATTTCAGATTTTAGGTGTGTGATTTCCAATTTCTCAAGTGCTATGTCTTCTGCATTTGTTCTGGATAGGCTCAGGGCTTCAGACTGCATTTTGTTCCTTCTTTTTGTCATTTTCTACAGTACTGTCTTCTGACCGTTGGTGTAGAGCTTAGATGGAGTTATTACCTTAGCACCAGGTCCAGATCTACCAAGTTCAAATTTGTCCAAGTGGTGTGGCTTGAGTCTGGTTGCTGTGCTCTACTTCTTCCTGCTAGAGCCCTTGGAATTGAACCCTCTGTGCCACTCTGGCAAGATGTTCTGTTCCTGAATCAGCTGGGTGGGTCTTGCCTCTAACCTCTTTGCAGGGAGTTCTGATGCAGGTTCAATGCTGGGCCTGGGCTCTGGGTCGAATCAAATGTAGTCTTAAGAGGATAGGAAGTTGTTATCCTGTTTCATATCATAAAAAATATCTACAGTATCAAAAACACTGAGAGGGCTGGGCAGATAGCTCAGCAGTCTGAGCACCTGCCTGGCAAGTGCAAGGACTAGGGTTCGATGGCACACATGCCATACGAGCCCCAGAACCCCAGGCACTCTGTGCCAGTCACTAAACTGGGCATAGTGGCACATGCCTGTAGTACCAGCACTGGGGAGGCTGAGACAGAAGGTTCACTACAAGTCCAAGCTGCATAGCAAGACCCTGTACCAAATAAATAAATAAGTAAAAGATTTTCTTCATTAAAAAAATTGAGAATTCTTTTATAGTTTAGCAACTAAATAAAAGGTAGCATGAATCTCATAACTGTACATGTATCTAATCTGTTGCCGGTTTTGACTTTCTGGGAACTCCACTATGTATTTATGAAAGAGAGAATTCAAAAGCAAACAGCAGAGCCTGGGGCATAGTGGCAGGTATCTGTAGTTCCATTGTAATGTCACAGCAGAGTCTGGAGACCTAGGGACTTCCCACTACAGGACCCTTGTATTCCTCATTCCTCTAGTTTTTGCTCTTACTCTGGTGAGGAATGCAAAGGCAAAGCCAAGATAAATTGAAGCCAAAGATCCCCCAGGTCATCCATCCAGAATTCAGAAAGGGAAATTAATGTGAAGTAGAGGTTTACTTATAACATTGCAAGGGTAAGGACAAAGCCATCAAGCAACAAGTCAGCAGGAACAGCTAGAAAGTGAGCTCCTCAGGATGGTGTCCTCCTGCCCATTTTTACAGAGGTATGAAGTCAGTCAGGGTCTTAGCCTTTGTTTCTGGGGTGAACTTGTTGCTAGAGTGAGATAGGGTTTTATGGAGTTTCAGGGGGTTTCCAATGTACAGAAAGATAAGTATCTAAGAATAACTATTCTTCAGCTGTAAAGGTTTCACAAAGGGCAATTTCCAGTAACCAGGGGGTCATTTCTATAGCCATCCACTATACCACGTTAGCCATGCCCTATGCTTCTGCCTGTCTTCCCTTCTCATTGTCCCTACATTCCTCCTCTGACTCGATCATCTTTCTGCCATTAGATGGGAATAGGTGGGGGTCTTGTCTTTACCCCCTTGAGAGTTATCTTCGTTACTTTTCTCTTGTTCCTGGGACAAAATATCCTATACCCCAAATTAAGGAAGGAAAGGTTTATTTAGCTCACAATTAGTGGAGGTTTCAGTCCATGCTCGGCTGGCTCCAAGGCAGAGTGGAACATGGTAAAGGGCAGCAGTTCATGGAGGGTGGAAAACAGCAAAGAGCAAAGGGAGGAGCAGTGGCTCCTCCAGCCATGGCTGCAGCAGCTAGCAAACCTCTCTTCCTTCCCTACGTTGTATTCAGGCCATCTGCCCCAGGGCAGGTGTAGCACTCACACCTATAATCCCAGCATTGGGTCATGAATTAATCACAAATTCTAGAAGCTGCCCCTAGTGACTGCATGAAGCTTTGGGGGGACAACTAGACACAAACCATAACAAGAGTTGACACTTGATTGATTGAATATTGGGCTTGTTGCTAGGGGTTTGGTCCTGTGGGATAACAGGAGAATCGGAGTAGGCTTAGCAATCTGCACTAGGAGAGGCAGTGTTGCCTGCAGAGGCAGGTGTCTGCACCACAGACTGTCAGCCCCAAGCCACAGAGCTACTCAGAAACTGCTTGCTGCTCACAGTCACACAAAGCCTGCATTTTCTACCCTCTAAGAAGGGCTCTGTCTTTTGCCTTTCCCAAGTGTCCCTTCTGACCCTACACCAGCACTCTGATATCCTGAAGCAGGAGGATCGTAAGTTCCAGCCCAGCCTGGGTAACTTACCAGCTTGGTAAGATCCTCTTTAAAAAAAAATTTTTTTAAAAGAGCCAGGGATATTGCTCAGTTTGAGGGCCCTGGGTTCAGTGACCGGTAACACATACACACACACACACACACACACACACACACACACACCTTAGTATGATAGTGAAAATAACTACTCAGGACCTTGTGCTGGCCGGGCAGACATTTATGTCACTGAGCTATCTCTCTGGTCCTATAGTGAAAGTAACTTTAACCTCACAAACTCCCTGAAAGAAAACTACCTTGAGAGCTGCTATAATAGTCTCTGGTACTCAACCCAGAGAGACCTATATGATTTATTTTAACTTTTTTTTTACTTAATTAAGCTTTTAAAGTTTTATAAACATATTTCTAATGTTAGGAGAATTTTGTCTTTGTTTTGTTTTTGAGGCAGGACCCTACTACCAGGCTGGCTTTAAACTCACTTATATAGCCCAGGCTGGTCTAACTCATGGGGATCCTCCTGCTTCAGCCTCCTAAGTGCTGGAATTACAGGTGTATGCCACCATGCCTAGCCCAGTTGTTATTGTCTTTGGTTTCTTTGTTTTAAAAACTATGAAAAAAAGAGATTGGGTGTATAGCTATTATTACACAAAAATGAATTTTCTAACCAAGATTATATATTTATTATTCCTTTCATCTTGCAAAATGTTCATGGACACTGAATGCAAAAAGATAGGGCAACTTTGCATCTTTCTTGTGGGCATTTCAGAACTGGTGCAGTTGGGGTCACGCCTGCCCTCCTGAGTGTGTAGTTTAGTCCTCACATGTGCCAGGGAGCTTGCCTCTGTTCACAGCTCCCTGAGCTATGTGTGAACCAGAAGGCTCATGTTACTGTTCTTATGTTTCTAGGGAGCTGGTCACATTACACGTAGCACTGGAAGATCCATCCAGCTGCTTCACATTCCCCTCTACAGGTGAGTTTCCAATGAAAACATAGAAATGGGGCATCCTGTGCCCCTATTTCCACAAGTGTGAAAGCCAAAGTCCTGACCCATCCTGAGAGTCCCCATCAACTCTGGACTTGTTGCTTGCTCCTGCCCTCTTCACCATCTGCGTTTTCCATCTGTGACTTCCCGAGCTGCCCGGCTGCTTCCCTCCTGGGCTGCCAGAGCTCCCTGTCCCTGTGGGCACACACCTCCCTTCCTTTAGAGCTTTGCTCTGACCCCACTGTCCCAGTGAGACTTGGCTCCAACCATCTTACTCAAAATTCACACCGTGGTAACACTTTTGGCCCCCTCTTACCTTTTCTGTTTAAGTAATGTTCTAACCTACAATTTATAGCATTTGTAAAGATACCAGCCTTTAAGTGTCTCTTCCCTGATACAGCTGAGGTATCTCAGCTTCCAGGCACAAAGCAGGTGCTCAACAAATACTAATTGAATGGTTGAAAGGAAAAGGAGAAGAACTGAGACAAATGTGTGTCCTTATCCTTTCCAAGGAATTCTAGATGAGATCATCTGTATAAAAACAAGGTCCTCCAAAAAAAAAAAAAAAAAAAAAAAAAAAAAAATTAAAGTATTTCAAAAAAAAAAAAAAAAAAAAACCACCAAAAACTGTTACTCTTATGAATTCAGTGGAATAAGTGCTTGCCTGGCAAGCGCAAGGTCATGAGTTCGATTTCTGGTACAAAAAAAAAAAAAAAAAAAAAATGAAAAAAGGGGCTAGGGAGATGGCTCAGTGGAATAAGCACTTCCCTGGCAAGTGTGTGGGCCTGACTTAAATCTCCAGTTCTGCCAAAAGAAAAAAAATTAAAAACAAGGTCCTGCAAGCATAGTGGCTCATGTCTGTGGTCCCAGCATGCTGAGAGGCTTGAGCAGGAGGATCACAACTTCTAACCTAGGCTAGGCAGCTAAGCAACTTAGCATGACCCTGTATCAGTTTTTGTTTTTTTAAAAAGAACAGATCTGGGGCTGGTGAGATGGCTCAGTGGTCTAAAGCACCTCCTTAGAACAAGCTTAGCAAAGCACAGGGACCGCGGTTCAATCCCCCAGCACCACATGCCAGCCAGCCCCGCCCCCTGGTGGGCTGAGCTGGGCACACACACACACACACACACACACACACACACACACACAAATAAATAATTTAAAAAAAAGAAGAAGAACAGATCTGGCATGTAGCTCACTGTGAAAGCCCTGAGTTCACTCTCTAGTACCACTACCACCCCTAAAGAAGGTGGAAGGCAGGAAGGGAGGCAGGGAAGAAAGAAAGGATGAAGGGAGGGAAAAGATAAGACAGAATAGACATGACTGAAATCGTAGCCATAGATGAATTTGCACAAAAAGAATTTTTCAAACCAGAAAAGAAAAAAAAAAAAAAATACAACATGTATTAGTTTTAGTAGGTGAAGAAAAACCAACAGTCACATAACTGATTTTCTTATGAAACAGAACAAATTACAAAAGAGTGAAGCCAAAACTAATAGTTATTAAACAAAAAAGTTATAAATCTGGATGGTAATAATGTAAATAGGGCCAGGCATGGTGGCACATGCCTATAATCCCAGCACTGGGGAGGTTGAGGCAGGAGTACCGTAGTGAGGCCAGCCTGCATTATATAGTGAGTTCAAGGCCAGCCTGAACTATATAGTGAGACCCTGTCTCAAAAAAAAAAATATATATATATATATGTATATATATATGTATATATATATACGCACACACACACACAGTGTACTTTTTATGTATTAAGTATAGGGTCTCCAGGTTCTCACTACACAGATCAGTCTTGTAGTGATCCTCCTGTTTTCAGCCTCCCAAGCACTGGGATTACAGGCACATGCCACCACACCCAGTATCAATCACTGTCTCGGTGCGCCCAGGGGTTGGGGTTGGCACAGCAGGCTGGGGATCGAACCCCCAGCCCCTGCATCTGCCTAAGGTAGTGTACTATTTTTAATTATGACTTTTACACCTATGTTTGCAAAACTATAGCGAGTCCATCTGTGAAAAATTCAGCGTCTCGATCATTCAGTTCCCCTAAGAAGTCTCCAGTGCATTCGCTGCTCACAAGTTCTGCGGAAGAGTCAGTAGGTTCTGCACCACAGTATAGATCGGCCAAAACCGCTCCCTCACCCGATTCTGTGAAAGGTAAGACTCTGCCCGACACTGCTGTTGGGATCAATTGATTTCTCACTCTGATGACTTGTAATTCTCTTCCATGCTCGCAATCACTGAGCTTGTGCATGCTGTTCTCATATGCAACCTCTAATCACTGCTAACTTACACGGTCTTATTTAAATAAAATAGCTCCATGTACACACATATAAAAGTAGGAATTAGATGTAAAGGTTCTATTTTCCACCAGCATGAAAAAGGAACTTTTTCGCTTGTATTGTAAGATTGTGGGTCTTTTATATAGCATGAGTAACTTTTCTTATTTATATTCTTTAAAACATTATCCTTCAGTCCGTATGTTTCTGTCATGGTTTGGGGCTTTTGTAAGGGGAACAATAAAATACAGGACACATTTTACAGTATTAGTTTATAAGGAATCACCCAAGAATCATATACAAGTGCAGGAAATCTATCCACACACTAAATACTAAAGAATCCAGCTGAGGGCCCGGATGCTACTTCATGGATCTGTGCTGGAAAGGCCCAGAGGTCTGTGGTGGAAGCTAGAAAGTCCATGCCAGCAGGATGAAGGATCTGTGCGAGCAGGCTGAGGGATCTGAACTGGAGCAAGGAAGCAATGCTCAGAGTAAGCACCAGAGCTCTCCCAAAAGTACCACAGACATGCTCAGCAACAGTGAGGTCCTGAGCTCACCGCAATGAGGAAAGCCATGTTCCAATCAGGAAAGCCAATGCAACAAGCTTCTCCATGATTCTAGCAGTGCATCATCTTCCTCTGTGGAGCCAGGAAGCGATGCTAAAGATGAGGACCAAAGCTTCTCCAAAGTTCACTGGGAAAGCCAGCATGCCAAGGTCTTCCAGCAGAACAGCCCAAAAGAATTAGCGGCTTCCAGCAGCTTCTCGAAACAGGATCCCTAACAGAGTTCTGACAGCCTCTCCTTTCTGACTTTTATGCTACTGACAACAACCCTCAGGTGTGCCTCCCTCATGCAGCGTTATGCTAGTTTAAGTCAGCTGGGTGTAATAAGATGACCACCAGTTACAAATCTACTACAGTTTCTAAGTGCTAGTGTCTATCAGACAAGTTTGTCAAATTTCTCATTTTTAATTTTTTGGGGGAGGACACAGGGGTGGAACTCAGAGCTACTCTAATACTGATCTATATCCTTGGACCTCCCCCCTCTTTTTTGTTGGTTTGTTTGGTACTGGGTATCCAACTCACAACCTTGTGCTTGTTAGGCAGGCAATGTGCCACTGGGCTATATCCCTGGCCCTGCCTGGCCCTTTTTATTTTTATTTTGAAGGATTTTGCTAAGTTGTCCATTGCTAGACTTGAACTTGGGATCCTCTTACCTCACCCTCCCTCAGTGCTTGGATTACAGGAATGAGCCATTGTGCCAGCACTGGGGAGGCTGAGAACAGGAGGAGCCCTGTGAGTTTGAGCTGCATAGTGAGACCCTGCACAAAACACAAAAATAAATAAATAAATAAATAAATACCTTTAAGTTCATGTGTTACTTGATAAGACAAGTAAAAAATTATTTGATTTGCAAGAAGGACTGATAACTACATGGGTGTTAAATGTAAGCATGTTAAATTGAACTTGAAGCGTTTCTTCTAATGTATGACCATGACAAAGTTACAGTAATGTTCTGTGGCCTCATCTCATTGATGAGGAGAAAACAGATGAGTTATTCCATTGCTGTTAAGCTGGTTCTCAGTCTTTTGCTACTGGCAACAGTATCAAAATGCTGTGCACATTTCTGTGCTGGGCACATTTCTAGATCCTAAGAGGTGAAAATCAGAACCTAATCACACTTTACTGGGTTTTTAAAAAAACATTTTTGCGTTGCTTTTTCTTCTCTTAGACTCAAAGCTATTCATTTAGTATCATTTAAAAATTTAAAGTATCAGGGGGCTGGTAAGATGGCTCAGTGGTCTAAAGCACCTCCTTAGAACAAGCTTAGCAAAGCACAGGGACCATGGTTCAATCTCCCAGCACCACATGCCAGCCAGCCCCGCCCCCTGGTGGGCTGAGCTGGCCACACACACACACACACACACACACACACACACACACATACACACATATAAATAAATAAATAAAATTTAAAAAAAAATTTAAAGTATCAGATCATTCATCATTTACCAGCAGACCATGCTGATTGCCTTGCTGGAATAAAAGTTGTGTTATGTAGGAACAGGACGTGTTACTCACCAGCGTCAGATACTCATCAACCATACCTCTTATACCATTTGTGTGAAATATCTAAGAAATGGTTTCTCTCTTGAATTAAAATAGTTCCACATAATTGCCTTTGATATTAATATCTGTAATGGAAACTGTTATTTGATTGGAAACTGATCCAATAAAAAGTTTTTGTCAAGATTATATAGCTATTCAGGAGGTAAAATGAAATTAGAATCTTCAGATACTGGCGATATATCTCACCTAGCATGTGTAAGACCCTATGTGGTCAATCTCCAGCACCACCAAAGAAAAAAAAAGCATCGAAATCTTCACTCATCAAGTTAAGTACTTTTACTGACTGACAAAACTTTTCATAGTTATTGGCAAATATTTTCATGTGTAGGCCCTCTTCAGGTGTTACTGCCATGTTCGTTGTAGGTTGCCTGAGGCATCCGTACAACATGCTTCCGTCACATAGTACTGTCCTTATTTGGGTGACAGCATCTGGCGCAGGCTTTGCACACTCCAGGTGGTACCAGGGTCCGAGGGAGGTCCTGTTCCTGCACGCCTCAGGCCTGCAGAAGTCCTCAGGTTTTCTGTGAATGCTGACCACTGCCGAGTGGTATCACACTGGAGGTGCCCTTCTCCCCAAGTCCAACTACTCCGTAGTTAAGTATCAGTAAGTTGAATCATTTTGAAACAAAATCAGATAGGCTAGGGTACAATATTTAGACAACAGACTTTTTTCATTTTACAAGTATTAAAAGTTTAAAGTTCTTTAATCTGTATTTTTAAAATATCAAATAAACTTTTAATATCACATCTAAGCAATTTTCTAATAGATTCACAGTCTCCGCCAGTAGAAACAACAGGGAAAACATGCAGGAAACTTCAGAACAGATTGGAAAGCTTACAAACCCTGGTAGAAGATTTGCAGCTGAAAAACCAAGGTACAATGTATATTTTTGGAGGGGACTTGTCTATAATATTTACTTTCCCTTCAGATTAAGCCTTCTGTTGGTTGTTCCTCTCAAAAGGTATTAAATTAATAATTTAGAAACCTTTCTCCAAACATGAGGGTCTGAACCATGACCAGGCCCCAGTTTAATTGTCAGACCCTGGGCAGGTCTCCCGTAAGCCTGTTATACTACAACTGGCCCGGTAATCCTGCTGGCCAGCCCTCAACTAGAATGGAGTGCTTTTTCATGTGTAACCTTGCCACACACATTTTCTTATTCCTGCTACCACTGTAGACAAGCGTTTGTATGTTGGTTGCCAAGGTAGAATTACACTCCATGGTCAAAAAACAAAACAACAGTTATTTAGCTGACATGGAATGTAAACGATCATAGAGGCACAGGAGACTATGCCACCCAAGAAATCACAACATCGAAAGATAAGCCATATCCAAAAATACTAAAGCCATTTGAATGGAAGCTGGTAGAATCTGCAGTGAACAGGTAGGCCTCTGGCTGAAGTTCTAAGCACCGTGGGTATGGGGACGCTATTGTGTTTCCTCCTTTTTTGACATAAATTCTTAAACCTGGGAGTCTTTGTCAGACAGACCGATAATAGAGTATATGCTTTTCTGCCTTTCCATCCCTAGAGAATGTGAGTTGCTAAGGTGAATGAAAAGAAATATTTTTCAAAGAACAAAGATTTATAAAATAAATTTAGTCTGTTGCTAATAATAGTTTCTACAAGCATTTACTGAGCACTTTCTATGTGCCAGGCTGTGATTTCTCCCTGTGATCCTCACTGTGACCCTGTCAGGTGGGTGCTGCCGTTACTGTCGTAGGAAAATGAGATTGAAGGGAAAAGTAGTAACAAGAATTCTTTGTCACACAGTGAGTAGTTCACCTGGGAACTGATCCCCATACTTTCTGACTCCAAAACCCAAATTTTCCTAATACTCCAAGGTTATACAGTATCATGTTTTTATTCAGAAAATTCCAAATCCTTTCTGATAGCACCGGCTCCCTATGCATATAAACATAAAACAAAGCATTTCATCTTTAGTTTATTGTGAGGTGGGTTTTACTTCTTAAGAAATATGTATTATTTCATTGGCCCTATTTTTTTTTTTTTTTTTTGTTAATGTATTTGGCACAGGGTCCCACTATGCAGCTTGGACTCCTAGTGATCCTCCTGTTTGCAGCCTCCTGAGTGCTGGAATTATAGGTGTGCACCACCACGCCCAGACTCAATTGCTTTCTCAGCATGCCCCACTATTTGGCTGGCCCTAAATAGCCCCTTTGACAGAAAAGACTTCGTGTGTGTGTGTGTGTGTGTGTGTGTGCACGCGCGTGCACTCAGAGATTCATCAAACTGTTTACAGAATGACCTCTGGCCCCAGCAAATGAGAGAGCGGAGACAAAACCAACTTTTATCTCTCTTTGTACCCTCCTGAAAATGTTTGAACTGTGTACTTTATATTATGTTCATCTGATCTTATCCTGCACATTTGAAGCAACTAAAAAGTAAATGTTTACTCTTATGTATGTTCCCTAACACCAGTCTTTTAAAAAATATGCCACATTGTAATGTTTAAGAATTTCTTGAGATCAAAATGTATTTATTCTGTTTGAACAAGCAGATCATTTAATAAGCACATAATATAATTTAAAACCTAAGTATATTTTGTTATTCTAACTTTGCTTCATTGACATTTTCAGCAATGTCTTCCATGATCAGAAACCAAGAAAAGAGGATACAGAAAGTGAAGGACCAGGAAAAAATGTTACTCAAGTGACACCTCCCTTGCCTGTCTTTATAGAAGGATGATGCCCCTTCCATTGTGATGTTACTTATAATTAGTGCCCTGTGTACTTTTTGCTTTTTATGTGAAAGTTTAATAAAAATACCCTGCCCTGTAAACTCTGTTTTGAAGTAAACTATACTTGAATGTCTCCTGCTAAAATGTTGAGCCATACTAGTAGGATTTGAAGGTATTTATACAGGATAAGATATTCACTGGTACTAATTCCAGTGTATTAAAATAATTGCATTACTGATTCTACTATAATAGTCGTTTTTTTCTCATCTTAAAAAATAAAATCCCAGCAGGGCTGGGGAAGATAGCTGAGGGCATAAACACCTGCCTGGCAAGCGTGCGGTCCTGAGCTCCATCCCCACTAGCCCCCCCACCACATGCATAATAAAATAAAATCCCAGAGTAAAAGCTCCTTTCACACGAACTGATGTGGTATAATGCCCCAACAGAAGGACAAATTCCAGCCTACAGATAGGGCTTCCTGCTGTGACCCTGAACTCACTGTTTATTCTGTGGATATCAGTGAAGGGAATCAGATAACAAAAGTTAGGAAGCCCCAATTAAAATTCTTAGAAGTTTCTGTTTTTGCATATTAATAACTAAGGGAAGAAAATATTTTACTCTTTAGCAAGTGCATGGGTAACTTCCAAACTCAATGAAGTCAGTCTAACTTAGACTGTAATAAATTAGGGAATTTTGTATCTGAACCAAATATATGAGACAAGAAAATCAGAAATGTTTCAGTGGTGCCAGAACAGCAGAGCTGACACGCAGATGGCCAGCTGTCCAAAACACACATGCTCCTGCTCCCTAGCACAGGACTGTCCCTGAGGAGCAGAGGGGCAGCTGCCTGACTGGAAGACCTGTGTCCCAGGCCCACTTTCCACCTAGCTGTGGCCTCCAACAAGTTGTTACTATCAGATTATCAGGGACAGAGTACTGGGTACACTTTCAGGTCCAAAGCACTGATAATCTTTAGTGACAGATTAATTTGTATACCAGGTAATATAAAATGACTATGGATAGAATTCTAAAGAGATTTTTTTAAATTATTTCACCTTTTACTCTCTCTTAGGAATGGTTGGCCCTTCTGCACATTTGTTAAAAGCGCATCCACAGAGCTCTTTGTATGGCATCAGTGCACCTAGCAGTACCTCTAAATTTAACAGGTGGGCACTGTAAGCAAAAAGTGTCACCCAGTTCTGGGAAGTGCTTTCTAATGCTACGTGTGCATGGCTTTGTTCTTTTCAGAAAAGACCGTTTTACCCAGGCTGTACATTGTTCAGTCAGTAGACTGTGCTTACTAAAGGGTATTTCAGCAGGTAAATTTTATTTTCAAGGACAGGCATGCTGAATTTTCCAGCAAATGAAAGGTATGTTTGGTTTTTACTTTTTGATGTAGAGTCTCACTGTGTAGTTCAAGCTAACCTGAAAACTGCCATGGGGTCCAGCTACTGAAAGTGCTAGGATTATGGGAAAAAGTAGTTTTAGGACAAATGTTTTCACCAAATGAAAGAGGACTCTTCATAGTTTTCATCTGTAACCTGATGTTTGCTTTTTCTTTGTGCTTGTCATTAGTGGGATAGAGTATTTTATTTTAGATCTAACCTATTATGGTATTAAGATTTAGACAATTCAGACATTGAATAAAGATTAAAATTCAGGTTTTATTTATATAAACTGTTTCAGAGCAAAGATAAACTTGTATATCACTGTCCTTTACCAGTATGTCCTCATGATGACTGCAGGTTGGAAAGGACAGGGAAGAGTGACAGAAGGAAACAGCTTCTATAGGACCTGCAGCCCTGTGTGGTGACCTGCTGGGAGAGGGTGGATGGGTGGTGAGCAGGGATATCCTCAAAGAGCTCTGGGCTACGATGGTTGAGTTCCTCTGGAAGCCAGGCTGGACCTGTCCCTGCCAGTCTCTAGAGGTGGCTTTCCGACCACCTGCTCAGTGCACACCCTATCCCCCTCGTGGCCCCTTTCTTCCTGTGTGTTGCCATGACTGACTTCCTTGATGACCACTCTGGCTAGGCCCCTCATTCCTACACCAGCCTTAGATCATTGAGACAAGAACACACTTGAGAGGTAAAACCAGACAAAAACCACTGGAGTCTATGGCTTTAGCTCACATCCTTACTAATCACAGCCTGTGATCCAGTGTGTTCTTATCCATACGATTCCTTATGGGGTCCTTATTTTTAAATATGAAAGTGCATGTAGCAAAGAGTATTTCTTCAGCTTTTTTATTTTTGAAGGGAGTAGGGGTGGTCTGGTCTCACTAAACTGCCCAGGCTGGCCTGGGTCAAGATCCTCCCACAAAATGGCTACAAAATAGCTGGGATGACAGGTGTGCACAGCCATGCCCAGAATTAATTCATTAGCTTCAAAACAGCCCTCAGCTGTTTCTAATGAGGCTTGCACTACTCCTTCAGTCTAGGGAGGCCCAACAGGCGCCAGCTGGGACCTGTGCAGCTGGCTGGTTTTGCGCTCCTTGGCGAGAGTCCACACCTGAAGCTCAGCCAAATCACTCAAGAGGCCTAAGCTCCAAAGTAAGGATACATGAGCACAACTCAATCAACCAGTGCTGCAGGGGAAGAAGTCACTGGAAGTACTATACATAGATACCTCTGCACATTACACAAAAGCCACTAGTGAATTTGCAGCAGCTGGTGGCTAGTCGTGTTGCCTTTATTTTAAATTATTCAGTGTGCTCCACAACCTTACCCTCCTCCACTTTCTGCTGCAGCCTCTCCAGCACTTGGCATCAGTGAATCCCCCACCACCCGTGAACCACTTTGTCCTCGTGGCCCGTCGATAGGCATCTATTGCTGCATTCTTCCCAGCGTGTAATGTCCCCGTTCTCCACCAGCACAAATTTCCACTGCACCATAGAATCTGCTGGTAGGAAGACAGAATGAGACCACAGCCCATCCTTGTGATGGTGGAGTGGGATGTAAGTATGCCACCTGCCAAGATTCTCATGGTCTCCAGTTACTGCAATGAACTGCACATCCGTGCTCGTGAGGTAGTGCACCTGGAACCTGATGCTAACTTGCTTGGACTCTGAAGACACTTTGGCTGCACTTTTTCTTTTCTCATCCACTTCCCAGTCTCTCGCTTCCATAAAATCACTTCTGCTGTTGTGCCTTTCTTGGCTTAGCCTTGCCCCAGAAGCCTCCAGGTTGCCACCCAAGCCCACCTCTCCCCAAGACGAGTGCCTAGACACCATTTCCCAATCCTCATGGCCAGCCGGGGCCTGAATGTCCAACGGCGCCTGGTTCTCTTTCTTATCTCTGGCCATGTGCTGGCTGCTAGATGGCAACTTCTCTGCAAACCATGTGGCTGTTTTAGTAGAGGTCTCTTGGCCTTTTTGGAACCTCCATTCTCCAACAGGGGACTCAAGACTTTCATTTCCTAAAGTTTCTCTCACTTTGGTCTCAGAAATCAAAAGTCCATTGCTTTCTTGAAGATGCTCTAAAAAATAAAAGGGAAAATGTCACCGTGTTAGGCTGAGAAAGGGTTACGATTAACCTTTATGACTCTACCTGCAATATACCAAGTCCCTCTCTATTGAAATAAGTACATATTATCGCTTCTCAGCCTTTTGGCTAAGATCAAATGTGAAATAATTACATATTACTTCATATGCTCCCTGCATTGTCCTCTAAGACTATGTATGTACTGTATATCCAACAGTGAAAGACATTGGGCAGCATCATGTACAAGAAGTGAGTAAACACAGTGACAAATTGTAAAGGCCGAAGTGTAAGCCAGTCCTGGGTCTGGTAATGCTGGCATTTGGCCAAGTTGAGCTGCTTGAGTCCTCTCACCCCAAACTGCTGTTAGCACCACGTTGTTAGCTCAGCAGTAGAGCACATACTCAGTTTGAGGCCCAGGGCACAATCCCGACCACAGAAACAACACCAAGTCCGGCTGCTGGCCACAGGTCTGTATGGCTGCCTACACAAAGGGCCCTGTATTTCCCGCACCAATTTATAAAGTGTCAGAGATGTCACTAGGAAACAGCAAAGGAAGGGACAGGTAAGAGCTGGGGTGCATGAGGAGACAAGTGTCGTTGATTCATGCCAGCAGCCCCACGTGCAGGAGGACCCCCCCCCCACAAGAAACAAAAAGTTTTCTCATCCCTTCCACCCCTACACATTTTTTTTTTAAATTTTCAAAGAGCAAATTCAAGTCCCCTAAAGACTTTCTCTCATTCACCTGGCTGACAGTCCCACAAGGTCTCTGGAAGACAGAAATCTCCAAGACCAGACAATTATTGAAGTGAATTATGGGGCAAAGCAAGTCTTGCTTCATCTTGCCTCTTTTTAATGGCAGGGTTGAAAGTGAGAGGTCAACTAGTATTACCCCCAACTCCTAATTCTTGAACCTAAAAAATGAAGCTGCCTTTAGAAAAGATCAATGAACTCTGGATTCATCCCACACCACTCACAGGAAAGGCACAGGGCAGATTTTCATGTGGCTACAAATGATCACCACTCCACTAAAAATAAAGTCCATAGATGTAATTTGCACCGTGAGGCTGCTGTCCAGGCACTGGCAGCTGGCCAGGGAGGGTGCGGGAAGTACAGATCCACGCCAGGGCGCTCTCTGCCCAAGCCAACGGCCTCGAAAACGTCCAGGCTGAAAGCGCATCAGCGCAGGTGCTCCAGTGAGTCTCTTCCTGGGGCTCAGCCCACCCCACGCTGTCGCTGCAGGGGGGCACAGAGCTCTGAATACCAGATCAGCGCATAGCCCCAGGCCAGAATCCAAACAGATCCCTGCTCCCCCGATGGTCACACGCAGGTAGTAACAGGCGCACGCAGTTCCGCTTTCCAAGGCCCAGTCCAGGGGGCGGCGGGGGCTGGGACTCGCGAGGGTGAGGACAAGGACCCAAGAGGGGTGTCAAGGTGGTGTGTAGCTCAGCTAGGATCAAGCCCATCCCTAGCAAGCTCAAGGCCTGTGAGCCCCAGCCTTGTAAAAAATATAATAATAATAATAATAATAATAATAATAATAAAGTTGCAGGACGACCCCAGACTAAAGGCCTGGTTCGCGGAGGCCCTGGCGCACCGCTCTGCGGAGCTTAGGTCCCGGAACACATGCCAAGGGCGGCTGCGGCCGGACACCGCCAGCGGGCCCTCTTCAGCCTCTTGAGCCAATGCCAGAACGCCCGCGAGGTGAGGACGCGTCCAGCGTGGGGACATACCTGGGTCTCTCGAGTCCGCGGGTTCCCGGAGAGGGGCGTCCTTGCCTCCATCGCCGGAGCCGCCCCTCAGCAGCCACACTAGCAGCGCCCCCGCCAGCCCCCCGCCGACCAGCAAGGCAGACCAGACGGCTCCCATGGCGCGGACACACCCACCGCGTGCGGCCGCCGGGGTCAGGGTCCGGGTCCAGGTCCTGGTACGGGTCGGGGATCACCCAGCGGAGACCCCGCTCCTCTGCCAGCGCCTTCGCTCCGGGCTGTTCGGCCGCAGCAGCCCGGGGTGCCGGATCAGGCGTCCTCCTGGGGGCCCGCCCAGGACCCGCCCCTCGCACCGCCTCCGGGGCGCGGCCGCCGCAGGGCTCCCTGGAGCAGAGTAAAGCCGGAGGGACCCTGGAGGAAAGCTGCACCCAGCCTCCACGCCTCTGCCTCCTCGCTGTGAAAGAAAAGGGGTGGCCTTGGGGACCTGTCCTCTATAAATGCCACTCTTCACCTACATCCACTCTCCCGCGAAATGCTCGCCAGTCTGGCGAACCAGGTGCTATCCGGGGACCAGGTGCTTATCTGCTGTTCCTGCAGGTAAGCATATTCGTAAAATTAGCACCTTTTATTAAGCGCTCAGTATTCAAATATGTTATGTACGTATTTAATTGAATCGTTGCCAAACAACTGCAACCCTGTGAACAGTGAAACACATTTTTCCCTCATTCACTGCGTCGCTGCTGCGATGGCTTTGCAAGCCCACCTGGAGCTAACAATCCTGCCTCTGGGTCCCAGCCTCAACTTTCCCCTGCCCGTACATGCCACATCCAGTTGCTGAAGGCCACAACTCTGAGTATTCGCCTCCAAGTAATTGCTGGCAAGGCTCCCTCAAGCGGGACAAATTCCCTTTGGGTCGGTCACTGGAGACAGCTGCTGCTGGGGAGTCACAGGCAGGCTGTGTGTACACACTCGTGTGTATGTATGTGCGTGTGTGTGTGCGCGCGCAATAACAAGGTGGGGAAGATGGGGAGGCTCCTTCAGGGATGCACCTCTCCCACTTCCTCTCCAAACTACAACTCACTAGCATTCTCCCCCTCTAGCTAGGTGGCAACCATATCCTCCCCATTGCTACAAACACACTCAAGATTTTGGAACAAAAACCTTTCCCATTCTGCACCACCTGGGCTTTTCTCTATCCTGGCCTCTCCAGCCTCGCTGGTTTCCTTGCCTTGCATAGGTTCTGTGCACATTTTTTAACCCAATTTTGAGATTTCCCTTTTGTTGAATAGATTTGTCCTTCAGCAAATTAAGAATTCCATGGTGGGCTTGGGGACAAACCGTACCCAAACTGTAGCATGCATGCTTTATAATAAAACAGGAAACATAAGTGTTTCCTAAGTTCTGTGAACCATTCTAGCAATCATCAGATCTAAGGCAAAAGTGTGATATCTACATTTACAGGCAGTGGTTAAAAGCAGGGTAGGCCTGGAGTTGGGCCTGGCCTTGGAAGGGAGTCATTCTGTGGGAGCTGATGCAACTTGGGTGGGGAGGGTCAGAAGTGGATTCAGTTGTAGAACAACAACCTAGTTACCAAGGAGAGTTGAGGCACTGCTTGGTATCCTCCCTCCCATTTTGGAGTCCAAAAGTAAAGTTTTGAGCCTAGCAAAGAGCAGTATTTTTCTTGTTCTTCTCCTTGGAATTGCAGGACCCTCGAGATATTCAGGCCTCACTTGTATCTGTCCAGATGACTACATCCACCACCTGTCACCAGAGCACTCCCTCCACTCTGATCCCACCCCTCTAGCACCACTGCCAGTTTAACCCCTGGAAGTCCAGTGAGAGCAAGGCACCCTATCTGCCAGGTGAAACTCAGCCCCACCTCAGCCTTCAACCAGCTCCTCTGGGTCTTTATCATTTATCTGCCCTAGGGCCACTTGAATTCTGCCAAGACCTGAGAACTGTGAAACTTTTCCTAGTGCCTGAACACATGCTGCACACCTAACCTCAAACTGATACATCACTCTCTGAACTCTGAAAACACACAGCAACTTTCTTAGAGAAAAATGCAGTGGACTGTCTGGTTATGACAGTTCTGACAAATGACTTGGGTTATGACTGGAATTTTAGTTTGAACTTATGAACAAAGTCTTGAAACATGCCTTGAATGCTGGCTACTTATGCATCCAGATGGTCTCAGATACAGATTTAACACTTAAAGAGTTCTGGAAGAGGTATTGCAGCATCCTTTCCTGTATGGAGTTAAGTGAGAAATCTTAGGCCAGTGTTTCTCTAAGAATGCTAAGATATGCCTGTCTACACAAGGGAGATTTAGAAGGTTGTATAGAGGAGCCTGAGCCTTCAATGGACAACTTGAGTTACAACCAGCCCTTGGGAATGAATCAAGTTCCTAAGTCTAGGTCCACTGTATAAGGTCTCTGCTTGTGGTATAAGTATTTTTGTAGTTAGACCATGAACTCTTTTAGGGCCAAAGCTTGTTCATCCTTCTTATTCCCTGGAATGCCAATCTAAGATGCAACAAGTCTGTTCTTAGTGTTGTTTAGCAAATACAAGCATCTGCCAGCCTGGGCACGTGCTTTGTACAGATTACTTCATGCAACATGCCCCAGGGAGTCATCTCCCCAAGGACACTAGGTGGATGAGTGACCAAACTGGGATTTGAAACCAGTATTCTGGCCCCAGGACCTATGCTCTGAAACTTGAGTTATATTCAATCCTCCTGTCTATTAAACCATGTCCAAATCTTAGGATGTACATTTTATTGGGGTGTGTGACACCCCAATATCCTTCTGGAAGTATCCCAACATTTATGATGAATTTCCTACACATTCTTGCTGTGTGAGTCCTTGGCAAGCCTGCCTCCTAAAGGGAATGTGCTGTCACCCGGCACCTGTCTGCTGCTGTCAGACCTTTGCTCCTGGGCCTCTGCACGTTAGCCATAAGCAGAACCACACTGCAAACCCGTCACGTTGGAGCTGCTCAGCTTCGGGTTTCATAGAGACATTTCCTGACCGCAACTGTTTGCAAAACTCTGACTCATCTTAGTTCTAGAATAGATGCCAGGCTGAGCCACCGTGCTAAATGATGAAACCTTTAGCAAAAGAGAATCTGGTGGAAAAACTGGCTCACTGTATTGAAGAACAATAAATCTGGGCTAGTACTTTGTACTATATAAAATGGTGGAGTACTGGTTCAATAAAGCCTTACACATAGATGTGGAAACTCCAAAGCAGGTAGAACAGAGTTAGAAGAACTATCATTGTGACACTGCCTAACACAGAAGGCAAAAAACAAAAGCAAAACAAAATTGACATCATCAAAATAAGGCTCATAAATAAAGTTCCCAGATAACTGCAGACTACAGGGAGACGTTTGTTTTGTCTTAAACTAGCTAAACTAAAACTGCTTGACAATTAACCTCCAGATATACAAAGACATTGACAGGCAATACAAATAAAAATGGAGGGCCAGGGAGATAGCTCAGTGGTATAAGTGCCTGCCTGGCAAGCACAAGGTCCTGAGTTCAATTCCCGGTATGACACACACAAAAATATATTTATTCATTAAATAAATAAAATGGACAAGGTATTCTTTTCCTGGTGCCTGGGCACAGGCATTTCTTCATAGGAGTGTTCAGCTGAATGAAAGGAACAGGTACAGCATGGTCCAAATCCTTAGTAGCCAAATACCAGCACATTAAAACAGTATTGTTGCACCATTTTGAATCTACCAGAAGAGGCAAATATTAGAAATTGTGTAAATAGGATATCATGTCCACATCTTGTACAGCAATTAACCACTAGGAAGAATGTATGCAATGTGTTAATTATTGAAACTGTCGTACCAATTTGGTTTGAAACTGTCTCATTGCTAGTTGTTTCTCAATAAAATTATGGGAAAATGGGAAAAGAATTTTTATAAAATTAAATATATATCTACTCCTTGACCCAGCAATACCATTGTTTAACAGGTATAGCAGAGCCCACTCAGACAGACATAGAAAGAAAACAGCTAAGAAAATGTAGTAGTGTCATAAAAAATAGTGTACAATAGAGTACTCGGGGTCCTACCTAGGAGAGGCTTAATATGTGTATTGATTGAATGAATAAACATCAGGAATGTGCTAAGAACATATTACCAAGGGCTACAAAGATAGACTGGCAGACTAAACACCTGCCTGGCAAGCACAAGGACCTGGGTACCATAGTCAATCCCCAGTACCACATGCTGTGCCGGCCCCAGAACCCTGGGCATGGCCTGAACCCAGAGTGGTGGTGCACTTCTGTAATCCCAGCTAGTGCGGGGGAGGCTGAGACAGAAGGATCTCTACAAGTCCCAGCTGTGTAGCGAGACTCTGTACGGAGGTGGGGGGGGGACAGACAGACAGACAAGGGGAGGGGAAGGAAGGGGAGGGGAGGATGTATTACCAAAATTATAGCAAATACATGTTCAGGTACCCTCCCTCCCTCACACTCTTTCTCCTCTCCCTCCTTCTCTCTCTTCCCCTCTCTCCTTCCCCTCTTTTCCTTCTTCTCTTCCTATGGCTTAGATATAAAATGTCTCTCCAAATTCTCACATGTGTGAATGGTGACTGAGTTGTGAGGTGCTCTGCTCATCAGTGGATCAGTTTATGGATGAGTTTGTAGCCACCTTGCTTTTTAGAGGTGGGCCTGGCTGGAAGTGGGTCCCTGGGCAAGTGACCTAGAAGGATGTATTCTTGTCCCCAGCTCCTTCCTTCACTCTCTGCTTCCTGGCTGCATGGGTGAGCACCTTTCCCTCCGCCAGGACCCTCCACCATGCTGTTCCTGCCTTGAGCCAGCTGCCCATGGACTGACACATGAGCCTAAGTAAGTGAACCTCTTCTCCTTTAAGCTGTGGGTGTTGGGTGTTACCTCACAAAGACAGGAAAGTGACTGAAACACCTTCCTTTCTTTTTTGCCTCTCCCTCCCTTCCTCTCCTTCCTTTCTGTCCTTCCTTCCTTTTCTTCCTTCTTTTGAGTTGACTGTTATCTTGGGAGAAAATGAGGTAGATGATATAAGGACAGACCTAAACAAAACAGTAAGGACCGTTTAGGGTATCATTTGCCTCCTGTTCCTTGTCTTCTTCCTCATCAGTGGTATTCTTTAATTGATCTACCCACCCAACCCCTGCTAATATTCTTTGTAAGATGCTAACTTTTGTCAAAAGGAAAACAGAAATTTCTCCAGTACTTTAGGGTGAGTTTTTCTGATAATCAAAAGTAAATCTAGAGCAAAAATGATTTCTAATGGAAAATTTCACACCCTGTGCTCTTGCTGGGGGTGGTCTTCACCCCAGCCCCACCCTCATATGCAGTCTTGCCAGCTCCCCTTGCATGAAAGGCAGACCCTGGGGTGCCTGATAAAATGGGCCAATTCACAAAGAAATAGAACAGACCAAAATCATGTCTTAAGTGTACAAGCTCACCAGTAATTTAAAAAAAAATACAAATGAAGACAAGATACTAATTTTCATCTATCAAATGGACAGCATTATTATTTTTTTTTAAAGATGAAACTCAATAGTGGCAAAGAGGCTAAGGAAAAGGAAATCTTTATTTAATCTGTGAAAGAAAGAAAGATACAAAATTAGGGCAAATTAATTTTGTCCAAAGCCTTAAGAAAACCAAAACATGCCAGTCATGCTTGCTTCATACCTGTAATCCTTGTTCTCAAGAAGCTGAGAGAGGAGGATTGCTGCACGTCTGAGGTCAGCCTGGGCTACACAGCGAGTGTAAAGCCAGCCTCAACTACGTAGTGAGACCTTGTTTCAAGCAAGCTACAGAAAGAAAACCAAAACACACAGTCATGTGAGAGCATGTTCACTCATGATGCAGCATTTCAACTTCTGGGAAGGTTAAGTGCACACAGGCCAAGGGTGGAGCACAGGGCAGCCGTTCCTCACTGAGAGTAGTAAGAACAGTCTTGAGTTCAGCGGGGCACTGCTAGGCTGAGAAATGCATGGGAGCAGGCGAGGCAGGTCAGCACAGATGCAGCACAGTGCTTCCCAGGACCGTGTCTCAGAAGCCACACATCACTACTTCTGCTGCTTTAAGAGGAGAATTAAGCTCCACCTTTTGAAGGAAAATGAGTCCAAGAATTTGTGAACATATTTTAAGAATGAAACACATCTGTTATCTAGCCACAAATTATTTACATTCCTCTCAGATACAAAATATGCTCACAAAATCTCCCTCAAACCTCACTCCTTTATAGTATCCGCCTAGAGTGCAGAATGGCAGAACATAGGCCAGCTTCCCGTGCAGAGGTGACAAGGCGTAAGTCCTCAGGATGGTTGCTCTGCCACCTTTGCTTGCAACCTGAGGACCTGGGAATGAAAGAGACAAGTTATCCATGTCCCCACAGAGCCACCTGACACCTAGTGGAGGAGAGGCACAGGAGCGGCCCCTAGACACTGCTGTTCCAAGCAGGTACTTGAGGGTACACAGGAGTCCCACTGCACAAACATTCTGAGAACCAGAAAGTCTTCACTGAGAATTCTTTGATCAGGAACTCTGCCCAGCTCATACCTGAGACTCAATCTCCGTGGCCTGTGAGTACACTGTGGCTCTTGGAGTCATCTCTTCTGCCATAGGAGCACACAGCTGTAGCTGAGGAACCCCCTGAGGCTGTTCCTGCCTGAAGAATCGTGAAGATCCAAAGAGTTTTCTCATTTTATTCTGTCCTTCGCCATTTTGCTCTAAGCTAGCCATGGTTATGTCAGTATAATTCTGTGGAAAACTGTGTGTCTCCTGTGAATCTCATTGGGTCCATACTATTACTCAAAAGCCAAGTCCCAGCCTGGCATGGTGGCACACACCTGTAATCCCAGCTCTGTGAGAGGCTGAGGAAAGAGGATTACAAGCCAAGGCTGGGTAATTAAGCAACTTAGACCCCGTGTCAAAATTAAAAAAAAAATAAAATAAAGAAAAGGTTTTGGATGTCACTGTGTGAAGGCCCTAGATTTGATCCCCAATACAGAAAGGAAGAAAAGTCAAGTCCCCAAGTCCCCTTAAGATAAGCCCTTCTTTTCTGTGGCCTTCCGATGAACAATAACTTCCTTCAGCTTTTTAGAAGCACTATTGTTTCAGGGAGAGAATCTGTGTTCAGCACCTGTAAAACTCTTCAGGGGCCTTTTGTCCAGCTGAATGATGCTCTGAGGCACCACTTTCATTCTTTCTGGGGTCTTAACAAAGACTTCCACACTCTTGGATTTATCTTTAGGCCATGTCTTTGGAAGTATCCTGGATTTGACCACTGCCCTAAACTATTTTTTAACTTAAATATCACTTGCCATCTGAGAATCTAACAACTTTCAAAACCACAAAATTCTGGTTCCTTTTAATTCAACTATCCTTTTAGCATATTTTTCCTTTCTGTATTTTACCATAAACAGCAAGGAAAAAATAGGGAGTACCTTCAGCATTTTACATGAAAATCTTGCCAACCTCATCAAGTTCATTAAATGCATTTTCTAATTTCCCTAGATGATGAAAAGTGTTTTTCTGCTCTTACACCACAATTAATACAAAAGACTTCTGTGATCACAAGTGCAAGAATTACACACACACACACACACACACACACACACACAATTCCAGTTGCTGGAGTCCTCTAATCCAGACTCCACAGGTCAAGGGCTGTCCCCCAACCCTTCTGTCCATTTTAGATGGCACCCCCTCTACCTGACTGGTTATAAATTAGGGTTTCAAAGCTCAGTGGCAGAATGTGTGCTTAGCATGTGTGAGGTGGGTCCTCACCACCAAGGGTAAAAATAAAACAAAATTTCATTTGAACTCAAGCTTGTTCAGATCTCTTATGTGAAGATACAACATTGACCAGGAAAGAGCAATGCCCTGACTGCTGAAAGGGGAGCAAGCAGGAAGATGAAGGTGGCTTTGTGTGCCTAAAACTCTCAGCCCTCTGAGGTGTTGCTGTCAGGCCTGTGGGTGCAGAAATGGGCCAAGACAGGCCTGTCTTGGCAGATGAGAGGCTCCGCCTGTGAGCAGCTTCAGCCTAAAGACTTCCCAGTGGGTGGGTGGGAACTACATTTGAACTATGTCAGGTCACTGACTCTCCGCACACCCACCTTGCTTCTTTCCACAGTCAGAGGTGCCTCACAGTCTCCCTGTCTTCCTCATCCCTTCTGTCACTCAGCTCAGGAACATCAAATTGCATCACAGCGTCTGCTGCTCAGTAGACCTGAACTGATGCAGTTTTCCCCTCACAGGTGAGCCTTTCCCATCTTTCAAGAAGACACTGGTGGCATTTGTGGAAATAGTTGTTGAACACTGGGAAAATCTCTTCTCTTCATCCCCAACATCCTTCACTTATAACCACAGATGCGTTGGAGACAGGTTGTACTTTCTCATAAAAGTCTGTGGAAAATTTCTCAGGAGTTCAGTGAACTGGTTGGTAAATGTAGTGGATTGACAACTGGTGATCAGCTTGTAACACACAGCTGAACTGAACCATCATAGTGCTGGATGTGGGATGCTCTGCTGAGGATTGTTGCCAACAGCATAAGAGGCAGAACTAATGAGGAAGAAAAGCTGTTGGGAAGCTGTTAGAAGCTATTAGGAAAGCTGAGGGAACTGTTGGTTCTCTTGGAGGAGCTTGTCATGCTGGCTTTCCTGATGAACTCAGCTATTCTCATTGTCAAAGGAGCTCTGGACCTTGTTGTCACTGAGAATGGCTCTGGTTCACTTTGAAGGAGCCCTGGTCCTCACTTTGAGCATCGCTTTCTGGCTCTGCAGGGGAAGATGGTGCACTACTTATTTTCCTGGAGAAGCTTGTCACATTGGCCTTCCTAGAACGGCTTCCCTCATTGTCAGAAGAGCCTGGAACCACATTATTGCTGAGAATGGCTCTCATACTTCTTGGGAGAGCTCTGGTCCTTACTTTGAGCATCATTTCCTGGCTCCAGTTCAGATCTCTCAGCCTGCTAGCACAGATCCTTCATGCCATGGGCAAAGATTTTCTAGCTTCCACCACTGACCTTTGGGCCTTACCAGCACAGATCTGTGAAATAGACTTGCCTGAGACATTGTGGTGGGGTCAAAGCTTCCAATGAGTTGGACTCATTGGGGTCATTGTTATGACCTCTAGGTCTCTGTTGGTCTCATGCAGGACATTACAGTGGGATCCAGGCCCTCAGATGGAGTCTTTGGTCTTTAGTGTGTGGACAGATTTCCTGCACTCTTTGTATGATTTTTTTGATGACTATTATAAGTAATCTTTAAAAATATGTGTCCTGTATTGTATTGTTCCCTTTGCAAAGCCCCAAACTATAACAGTAATATGACCTTTCTTTGAGACAGGGTTTTGCTATGCATTTCAGGCTGTCTTTGGACTCACTTTGTAGCACAGGCTAGCCCTGAACTTGCAGCAATCCTCTTGCCTCAGCCTTCCAAGAGCTAGGATTATAGACATACACCACTATGCCCAGAAATGCAACCATTATTAAAATGTAAGTTATTTGTACTCACAATTAAATAAATGATGTGTATGACAAAAGTAATAACTCAAAAACCTATCACTTCATAGGTATTTAACCACTAATTATTTAAACACTCAGCTTTATGACTCTTGTATCTGGGCATGGAAAGTACTAGCTAATGGCACTTCTTTTGGATTCTGGAGGCCAGATTTACATTTGACCTTAGCCAAAAGGCCAAGAAGTGATAAGGAGGCCAGATTTAGACTTGCTGTTTCAGCTCTTTTCTTTAGTAACTTGAAGAGCCGCCAGCTTTGAGCATAGCACAAGCAAGAGGTGCCTTCCTAATTGGCCAAGGAAGCCCTGCCCTGCAAGAGGTGGGGCCACTGTGCACCCAGGGCTAGCACAGACACAGCTGCTGAATGGTGCTTTAGCATTCAGAAAGGCGGAGCATAGCACAGGCCCTTAGTGTCTGCAGCTGAGCCACAAACTCAGGCACTTGTAACTTCTCCTTTTGAAACAGATCTTAGCTTCTTGCTGGACCCTTGTGAATACAGCAGGCTGAGCATGACAAGTAGGTAACCATGTGACAGATGTCCATCATAGATGATGTTATCTGATCCACCAAGCCATTTGTCAGCTAACATTTAGAACACGCACAATGTGCCAGGCTCTGTCCTAAGCACTGTAACAGTCCTTCAATTCTCGCCACATTTCTGGGAGATGTGCTCCAGTTATTCAGATCATCATATTTCAGATGAGAAGATGGCAGCAGACAAGGGTAAGCAAACCCATGGTCTTATACCTAATGCATGGCAGATTTTGGTTAGAACCTAGGCCCCCTGGTTCCAAAGTCTACAGATTTAGTTACTAAATTGGATTGTTTCTTGTGTCGGGATCCAGTGGACATTTTCCATATAGCATAAGATGGGCCAGAGCAGAAGTTAAAGACACAAGTCGCCTGGTGCATCCTCTTCTGCCACACTGCTGGTTTTTCCTCAGCTTGCACTTCAGGGAAACGCTCTATGTCCAGTTTACTGAGCAAACAATCCACATAATAGGATGGCCCCCGCCACAAGTAGACAATGATAATATTCCAGTCTAACTCAGGGATGGCTCTGGGGATTAGCAGAGAAGGGAATATTCCAGAAGGCAGATTTTCAGGTGTTTCTCTTTTATGGTTTGAATGTCTGCTCCAAAGACCATTTTGATATAATCCCCACTGAGGTTTAGAAGTGAGCTGGGGAAGCAGTTAAGGTTGAATGAGATCATAAGGACGGAGCCCAAATCCAAGGGCACAATGGCTTATCAGAGAGACCTGGGCTAACATGTTCTGACTCACACATGATCTCCCATGCCACCTTTTAGCTCTTCCAAGTCCATGCCAACAGGATTCACCTCAGCAAGAAAAGCCTCACCACATGACTCTCCCAGCCTTTGAACTATGAGCTGAATAAAACTATAAATTTCTCAGTCTGTGGTATGAAATGATAGCAACAGAAAACAAACTAAAACATGTTTTGTTGACCACCACATCTGAAAAGAAAATTCACCTTCAGTGTAGATATTATCAGTCAGGAGCTGATGGTTTAGCTCAGCAGTCAGGGACTTAAAAAGACCAAGAAAGAATACAAGGCCCGTGACAGGGATGTTTAGGGGAGAGGTAGACTGGGCATATCAGCATGGATTCATTTAGTTCTTTGTGATGCCCATCAGAAGGCCTTCACTACCAATGAAACACTTGGTAACCAGGAGAAAAGTTGGCCTGCTCTCTGCACATGTGCCTGCTTCTTCTTCTAGCCCATCAGCCATGCCCAGTGATCCCGAGCAAGGTGGCCATGGCAGCAGAATGTGGGCTATCTTTAAGTCCAGCATCCTGGATTTCCCCATGCAAAGGCTGATGTGGCTATCACTTCTACTGAATGTCTGGTTTTCCAGAAATTAGTACAATCTTAAGTCCCTGATATACATGAAGCTTCAGTGTAGCACAGCCAGGAACAATGTGGCCTGGAAAAGACAAGGATTCTCTCCTGTTTACTGCTGCCAACACCACCTGCTCCTTGGCACCTGAATGCCAGAAGCCCAGGACTAAATGCACTTTGCCCCGGTTGACCTTGTAGAACTGGATGCTTCTCCCCAGTCTACCTGGTTCAGTTCTCCCTTGGGCTTCCAAACCTGTGCACATTTTGATGCACTGACTATGAGAAATATGGTCTAGAGATTTCCATCTTGTGTAGTAAGAGGTAGGAATAGTTGCTGAATGACTTCCATAGGAGACTGACAAGCTGTGCTCTCCAGAGAAATGAAGCCTCTTGTCTCTCTTCAACCCTGTTCACTGAGGTATACAGAACGGGTTATATTGCACTAGATGTTCCCTTAATTGGCCAGCCTTGCATATATCAAACTTCCTTACATTGCTAACTGGAGTCCTTTTTACCTGGTACAAAATCACTGTTTCTCATTACAGCCAATACTTGTGAAGTTTCTTTTTCCTAACACTCTGCCTCAAGCCCCACACACCTGCCTGATTAATACCAATAAAAGCCATGAACTTTTGGACACAGGGCTTTTTGTTCCACAAGAACACTGGGTTATATTAGTGCTCCTCAACTTCAGGATATTCTCTCTTTGTCTTTCTTTTGCATCTGTATGCCATATTGCTGGGTGGGGGAGCTAAGCCATCCATGGGGGTTTGGTTAACTTCATATATAGGATGCCATAGATTTCTTCCATCACTGTGAGAGAAGCACTCATTTATCTGTACTAGAAGAGCAACTTGTTCTGGACTTGGATTTGCTGACCTGTCTTACCAGATGCCTGCCCACTCTTAACATTTATAGTCTCACTGAGTGCTTATTCACTACCATGTTAATTCATGCAACATTGGTTCTACCAAGAAACTAATTTTACAGCAAAAATGATAAAGCAAGCAAGCAAGAAAATTAAAGGAGTTAGGAAAGAGGATACTGGGAAAGTCTGACACCATGGTGACTCCATTGCTCTGACTTGTCTGGCCTCTTATAGTGCTCAGTATGGCTCATCTTCAGCCCCAAGTGTAAGATAGTACCTTCCTGAATGCAGCCCAGGTCTGCCTGCTCTGTTCCCTTGGATTCAACCAAATGCAGATTGAAAATATCCAAAAGCTTTGTGTCTATTCTGAACATGTACATACTGGTATTTTCTTGCCATTAATTCCTAAATACAGTAAAATAACTATTTGCATAGGTTTTACATCATATAAACTATTATGAATAACCTAGGGATGGCTCAAAGTATCAGGGAAGATGTATGTAGGTTTTATGTAGATGCTGGGTTATTTTAAAAGAAGAGCTTGGGCTGTGAAGATAGCTTAGAGGCATAAGCACCTAACTGTCAAGCATAAGATCCCAAGTTCAATTCCCAGAACCCTAGGTATGATGGCATACACCTATAATCCCAGCACTTAGGAGGTTGAGACAGGAGGATCCCTATGGGTTGGAGACCAGCCTGGGGGCTACAGAAGTGAGCTTAAGCCCAGCCTAAACTGTGTAGAGAGAA